TGCTTATAAAGTTTCCTCCCATCTCCCATCCTCCCTTCTCTAACAAAATTATATATGGCCTTTGAGGTCTATGTCAAATTACCTCTTTGAATGTTCTCTACCTCCAGAAAGAACCAATAAATTTTTTCTCTGTACTCCTAAGAATACTTTGCTTATCCTACAAGAAGTTTACTGATTAAAATTACTAGTCATTTATGGGTCTACAGATTACTACATATAATCTATCGTTATCTCTCTTAGACTGAAAATCCCTTAAAGAAAGAAACCAAGCTCATTCATCATGTATTCCTAGCACCTAAATTCCTAGCCTGGCACACAGTTACAGTTGTGTTACACACACACACACACACACACACGATTCACAGTCACCATTTTCCCCCACATTCCTCATTTATCAAATTGAATTAAGAATCTTGTTTCTCCAAGGCTATTTCTACGTGGTTGGTTAATGTGTGTCCAAAATAACATGGTGCTACCTACGCAACTATACTTCCTAAGTTTAAGACAGGCCCTCGTGGTTGACTGTTTTTCCCACATCTTGCACAGCTGTCTGGTATTGGTTTGACTTCACTTATTATTATTGAATATGCTGATCGGCTGCAGATAAAAGAAGTGCTGGTTTGTCTCCCTGAGAATGATTACATTTGATGACTTAGGTATGCATAACAATTTGGAGAATCAGAGTTACCATTTCAGGAGCAAATGGATGTGAAATAAAATCTCCAGAGGGTGAAAGTGCTGACCTGCTCTGCTGCTTTACTCTTAAGCATTCTAATTCTAAAGATACTATAAAATGTCTTAAATGGAAAAAAAAAAAAACTAGTTACCCAAGAACTATTTATGATAGTTATTCACTATGCTTCTATTTATTATGCTTCTACTCAAATACAGCTTTTAGTAACTCTGGTTCTTGAGGCAATAAAAAAGGTGGTGGGGAAAACAGCTTAAATGTCCATCAACAGGTGAATGGATAGAACAAACTGTGGTACATCCATACAATAGACTACCTCTCAGCAATACAAGGGAATTAATAATTGATATATGAAACAACATAACATATCCCAAAATAAGTATGCTGAATGAAAGAAGACAGACCAAAAAAAGTACACATTGTTTTATTCAATTTATATAAAATCCTAGGAAATGCAAACTAATCTAATAGTGCCATAAAGCAGATCAAGGATTGGTTAGGGATGGAGTAGAGGCCAGGGAGGGGTAGGAGGGAAGAATTACAAAGTGTCATGAAGAAGCTTTTGGGTGATAAGTATGTTCACTATCTTAATTACAGTGATTGTTTCATGGGTATATATATTTATTTGTCAGATTGTCAAAACTCATAAAATTGTACACAGTAGTCCCCTTTATGCATGGTTTTGCTTTCTTCAGTTTCAGTTACCTGTGGTTAACCATAGTCTGAAAATATAAATGCAAAGTTCCAGACATAAACAACTCATAAGTTTTAAATTACACGCCATTCTGAGCTGTGTGGTGAAATCTTGCACCATCCTGCTGTGTCCCACCTAGGGCATGAATCATCCCTCTGTCCAGCATCTCCATGCTGTATATGCCACCTTCCCATTAGCCACTTAGTAATCATCCAGGTTATCAGATCAAAGACACAGCATACTTGGTTGTGGTGCTATCCGAGGTTTTAGACACCCAATGTGCGGCTTGGAACATATCCACCATGAATAAGAGGGACCACTATACTTTAAAATGTGTAATTTATTATATGTCAATTATACCTCAATAAAGCTGTTTTTTTTTTAAGTGGCAGGAAGAAGACAGAGGTGAGAGAAGGGAGAGGGAGAAAGAAGTCTGTCCGAGAACATACCTATACAATTCTATCTTAAAGTGGTTTTCAAAGAAGAGGGAATGTTCAACACTTGCAAAATACCTTTCCAGAATGACATTTTCCTGAAAATGTCATTTTCTAAGAAGGTAGGAATTGTATTTTTGAAAGGAGCATCCAGGTTGCAAGCAGATGATTAATTATCATGGAAAATCATTGATGTATCATCGCAATTTCACAGTGCTTCTTACAGTTAAAATAAAGCTCCTTCATATCTCTCATAAAGGTATTATAAAGCTTTAATTGATTTGTGTTGGTGAAAACCCTTGGTTACCATCATGGAAAATAATTTAATTAAGTATCAAAATATAAACATACAACTTTGAGTATGATTTTTATATTTTTCTTTATAATAAATATTGGAGGGTACCAGCTAGTCTAACACATTAATAAACCAGGGGAGACTCAGACCCTAGAGGCTTGCACATCGGTTGATTTAATGTCAAATATAGAATCTACAGAGATGTCTAAAGAAACTTGTGTAGCTACCTCTACTACTGGATAAAATCTTGCAAGTACCACTTGCCCCCTCATTAAAAAGCAATAATGGTTTATGCAAGGTTAACTAAGGAATACAAATCTCTAGGCTTACTCATACATTTTCTTTTATGGGAAGGTTGAGAAGAGTAACTTTACCGTCAGCATGACAGTAAAGAAATACAATAAAAAATGACAATAGCGATCAGGAGGACAATACAGACTCATATGGAAAAAGAAAAACTAAGAATTTGATTGAAAAATGTTTGAGTCACAGGCTGTATCTAAGGTAACAGACACAGCATTCAGTATAATGCTTGATTGCACTTTAAGAGTATCATTCAGTAGCAATCTACACACACTAGGTCTTCAGTAACTGCTAGACATTATTATTCATGATTTTGGAAGTGAAATTGGAGACTGTAATTTAACATCCAGCCAACAGGTCTGGAGATCAAAGTCCCTCACTATTTGCAAGGTAGAAATAAAGAAGATGTTCTATGATATCTCTATTCCAATTAATATAATCAGACATGGGATAGTAGAGAAAACTCATCCAAGAAAGTGTTGATCATTAGGCAGAAACAAGAAGATTCTTTTAAGAAATAAATACATTAAGAAGGACTCTTTGCTGTGGATCTTTATACTGGTGACCCACAGCAAACTGGAGAATAACTTTCACATTTTGGGATGAAAATGTCATTATGAGGCAGGTACAGATATTGCAGTTCGTTATGGTCACCTGTAAAAAACTCTGCAATTTGTAAGGCTAGAGAGAATACAGAAGTCACTAGTCACTGTGGCAATTTAAATTTAAATATAAGTCAAGTAAAATTAAAAATTCATTTCTTCAGTTGCATTGGCCACATTTCAAATGCACAACAGACACATGTAGTTAGTGGCCCCTATATAGGAGAGGGCAATATAGAATATTCCATCATCACAAAAAGTTCTAGTGAACTGCATTGGGCTAGAAGGAAGTAGAGGCTAACATAAGGATGCCAAGTAAGAAACCCTGTAATACTGTATTTGAGAAAGAGAGTGCTCATTGGTTACAAAGGGGCCATATCATTCAACCTCCAAAGGGGAAAAGGGACCTTGGGTTCATACTCTCCTAGCCTGGCTTTCAATAAATAATCTAGAGTTAAAGCGCTCTCAATGCCCTTGTGCCCTCTGGGACCTCAAAAACTAAATGTGTGTTTTCCATAAAATACTAAGTCAAGAGAAAGTAAGACAGCACACTTAATGTGAAATAAAGTTCATATACTCCTGTTTAAACACAGATTAGAATTTCTGTCAGAACAATGCCAGTGAAAAGTTGACATTCTAATTAATACAATTTACATTATAAAGCACTGAATATCTTTATCTTGCTATTATGAAATGCCCTCTTTTAAAAAAAATTGAAACTCTACTCAACAGGGAAATGAGTACTAAGGACAGTATGTAAAAACCCATGTACAAGAGAGGTGGTTAGGGTCACTGGCATTTTTACACACCATCGACTCAGGTATCTAAAAAGGGAAGCAATACACTCATCCTCTACCACACAGTTTTGTCATTCTTTATCATCTGCAAGGCTATTTGCATGCCGCAATAGGATTTTAAGGCTGTTTTTCTGTTATAAAACATGCTGCAAAACACAAACACCAAAACCTGAAACATTCTCTCTTTCCCCTCTTTTCTCCCTCTCCATCTCTCCCTTCTCTCTCTCACTTAACATCATAGAGAATAACAGTTGTGGAACCCTGCAAACTCGCATACATGTAGGACTCCCACATAATGTTTATTCAATCCAAATTCTGAGTGTGTAAGAGGGGCAGAAAATCAACCCCACAGTTGGGCACCCAAGGATTCATGTTCATTGCCTTTGTCAATTTTATGCTATCAGTGAAAGGAATAAAGATGAGATCCTTACAGCTTGAATTTTCATTTCCTATGACACGTGCTTTTTCTTCATGCTTTATCACACTCCACTACTTGGTTTCCACCCCTTCATAATTGATATCGGCCATTTGAAGCATTCAGTAAAAACCTCATGAGATTCATCGAATGTCCCCCAGTCTATAATTCTTGCTTTTAACATATTCAGAAGCAAATTTATCTGAGTGTTTTCCACTTCCCCTCCATGGTTTTCTCTATGCACAGGGATGAGTGTAATGACAGTTGTATTAATTATATGCTGAAAAACCCACATAGCAGCAAAAATGATGGAGATCATCATTTTAAATATTTTATTAAAATAACCCAGTGTAGAACAGATAATGTAGACCCTCTTGATAATGAGAGGTTCATTAATTTTACAAGAATTCTAGAAAGCTTAGAATGGTCATCAAAATCATTTTTCATTTATTTGTTTTTTAAGAAAGGGAAAACGTTCAGTTGTTCCTTTAGAGAACAAGGGTATAATAAAATTTTCTAAGGTATTTTTAAATAATCACTTATCCTTCCAGAAAAAGCTTTGAAAAGGTAGCTTGAAATAGGGATTATTTAGGTTTCATGGTATTACTTGAAATGTCTGTAAATTTGCAGCTTCTGTGACCCATTAAAACTTGGTTTCATTGACATATAGTAATCTTTGATAAATAAAATTGATATTTCCTATAAACAAACAAGCAGTACATTAAAATCCTTTGATTATTGACAGCAAGAACAACACAATCTTGCCTACCAAGTGTGTCTCCAGATACAGTTTAAGGCCATCCATCTCTGCTTTAGGGGGAGTCCAATTCTCTGTAGTTTCCATGGCTTCATTTAACCATTGAATGAATTCATCCAGTTTGTTTACAAACCCCTTGTGAGAGGAAAGAAAAGGGGGAAAAAGAGGGCAAGAAAGGCATGTTAGTTGGTTATTCTGTAAAAAGCCAATATTAAACGTACCAAACTTTATCCATGATCAAATCCATCCCACCACACTCCTATCCTAGTCTCATCTTTGCTGTAATGGAATTTCCACTATTTCTGGACCTGAAGTCTTATCAAAATGGGAAAGAAATTGTCAATGCTTCCCTCTCAGTTTTTCTCTAGGATCACTTTTCTGAGGAATTTAGATTGGATTGGGGGGTGTCACTGTATGGATGCCTCAAAACATCAAAACATTTCTGGTGTCTGACAAGCATCCCCCTGCCAAAAAATCAGGTCAGGTCTGCTAGGAACGCTCATTGGCTTTGGGGGATAAAAGCATTCCTGTAAAGATGGTGTTCTTCACTCAGAAGCCTGTGGAGTTCAGTTGCCATAGCTGAACTAGAAATATATTTTAAAATTACATAAGTATGTACAGGTCCTTGGACGAGTTCTGTCCACAGCCCATATGTCTGTGTCTAAGCCTGTATGCTACAAAGGAAGGAAGCGTAGAAAGTGGGACCAATGAACAAACATAAATACTTGGCTTCAGGTATGTAGAGACATAAAGATATATTCTTGGCTAGGAAGCACAAATCACAATAATCTTGTAATTTTTCAAATAGTGGTTATCAAATTTTATTGACCATTTAAAAGAATACATCTGTAGAAACAGAAAATATTTTGAAAATATGAAAGCCCAACTGCAAACCTAAGTGAAAGAAATGGGGCTGGGCTCCTGCTTTCCACGTCTGGGTAAACAGCACCACCTGGAGGTCATAAGGAGCAAGGGCAGGCTTCCACACATACTTAGGAATGGGTTGAGATGCCGTTTCCCTATTAAACTTAACCGATTGTTCAGATTTGCCTTTCAAATAATCTTGATTAACATTTTTAAGGCTTAACTGAGGATGTCCTGAGACTGAAGTGGAAAGAGGTAAAAGTAAATATTTTTTTATAATGCTTCTCACAAACTAGGCTTTGCCATTAGGGTTTTTCCTAGATAATATTTTAAGATTCATAACCCTTTAATTGAAGCAATTAGATCACCTCCAAAAAAAAAAAAAAAGAGAAAAAGAGAAAATGGAATTGTGGAGAGTGGTAAGTAAAAGGACAAATAACACTCAGGAACACAAATTGTTTATTAGAGGGGGACAAAGCAGAGATGTGGGCACAGAGTCCCACAGAGTCAGATCATACCATACTGTTATGCTCTGGTATGTTGCCAACCTGTGTAGATAGAGCTCAGTCTATCATCCCACATAGTGACATATCATATGATTTCCCATATTCATACATGCTTCCAAAAGCTTTCCCTATTGAAAATCTCTCTATTGTACCAAGTCTCCAAGGACAGTCACACCCAGGGACACATATCACAACCAGATTTCACAAATGCAAGATTTCTCATTTATATTCCTTCGAAAATCTATCCCAATCAGTTAGATTTGATAAAACTAATGAGAAATATCATCTTAGAGACATCCAAATCACAAACTGAAGCCTATACAATTGCAATTGGCTGAGCTGGGAACTATATGGTAGTTTAACATGCCTCCAGTCCTAGACTCCAACCCTAAACTGATTGATAATATCATTAAGGTTTCTGTTGGTCATCACTCAGAAGATTTTCTTCCAGGTGAGGTGAAAATATGTCCAACAGAGAAGGTTTCATAAATTTCATACAATGTATTCCCTTACTAAGTGAATTTTCTGGTGATCTACCAAACTCAGCCTTTTTATCTAATTTTCTCATATTGCAACTCTTTCCAAATGCCAAGAATCCCTGCAAGATCATTTATTTTGCCCTTCTCCTATCTTTAGGGTATCACTTTGTCTGTTCTTCTGCCTTTCCTGCATTTGCATAAGTTTGAGAGTTGCTTTGCTTTTCATTTCCTCCCAAATACTTGACTCTTTTTTTTGAGACGGAATCTCGCTCTGTCGCCCAGGCTGGAGTGCAGTAGCCGGATCTCAGCTCACTGCAAGCTCCGCCTCCCAGGTTCACGCCATTCTCCTGCCTTAGCCTCCTGAGCAGCTGGGACTACAGGCGCCCGCCACCTCGCCCAGCTAGTTTTTTTGTATTTTTTAGTAGAGACGGGGTTTCACCGGGTTAGCCAGGATGGTCTCGATCTCCTGACCTCATGATCCGCCCGTCTCGGCCTCCCAAAGTGCTGGGATTACAGGCTTGAGCCACTGCGCCCGGCCTACTTGACTCTTTTAATGTAGAAGTTACACTTATTCAAGCTCAATCTTCTCAGTAGTGTCCCATCTGTTCAAAATGTTATTCCCCAAACTCCTACCTAGGGCTCAGAATATTTCACAGGTCCATATCTGACTTGATGTTTACCATAGATCCCTTTAGATGTGTACAGTAAACCTGTGAGCAGAAGTAAGGGCAGAGTCTGTTAGAACTCCAGTCCTAATTCTCGATACTCTCATAATTAAAATTTTGGTGAAAACTTAAGAGACCCTTTGCTGACCAGATGGACTTACAGAAATATTGTCTGTCATCGGTGGATGCTAGTCAGAAAAGTAGAATTTAGATGGTTTATAAATGGGAGATGAAAATAGTACTTTATAGTACTTACAGCATTAGTTTTTACTGTTGTATTTAGAATCGTGTTGTTATATCTGTGTATATAAATTGGTTTGGGGAGAAAATTAAGTCAGAAAGTATATTATTTAGTGAACAAGTGGTTAAATCCAAGAAGATAAACAGTTAAAGACATTATTTGAAAGGTAATTAGTTATAAACCATTCATGATCTTCTCCCCTTCAAAAACAAACAAACAATAACCTGTGTGTGTATGTGAGTGCATGGCTGCTTCATCATAAAAGGTTAGTCTTAGCCGAAGAGTACTAAACAATGTGTCAGGTTTCCTAACAGAACCATGATTACAGTTAGCTGAAATCTGTGAGATGCAGATTAGACAAAACCCATTGGTCCTGGGTGAACATTTCTGGATGGCACTTCTGTGTATCCCAGTCAGATAGCAAAACAAGGCTGTCTGATATAGGGGAAACAGGAGTCCTCTCAATGATTCTCTCTGGGTTTCTTCTGAATTATATCCCATCCTCACAACTTTTTATTTGTTGTACATTTCCTAACTCTTTTCTTGCCAACACTAAAAAGTTTCATCACTCACAATAGAAACCTGAGAAATCCCAGTATTCCTAACTTATAATAAAAGCTAAGCACCCCTTCCCTTTAGGGAGATCTAGCTTTCCACCTCCCTTCCTGCTTCTATGTGTAGCCTCAAGAATACAAACAGAAATCATGAAAGCAAGCAAAACTGGAGTCCATTCAATTCATGATACATTTATCACATGCTATTTTTCCACCTCACTCAGCCCCCTCTATCTGTGTACTGTCACCAGGTTTCTGTGTATAGTGGACAGTGTACTAGGTACTCTCCCCCTGTGATGAGATGTGCTTAGAAAGACCAAGAAAGTGCCACTCTATACACAGACCATGTGGATGTGCAGATGTGGTCACATTCGGACACACACAACAAATATTTGATGCCCATTTTCAGAAGTTCTGCTGGCATCTGTGTGGTGTGAATGAAAGAAAACAAGGATGACATAGGAAAATGGAAAAAATATTTTAAAAATTATTTTGAAACAGATCAAATCCTAATGCAACAAATATTGATCATTTATTCATTCATTTAACAAATGTTTATTAAGTGCTTTCTATGTGCAAAAAAGCACACTGCTAGACATTGTTGAGAATACAAAGATAAATATCATTGTGGCAAAAATTTCAGCAGAACATAAAGCACGTCTAAGCCCTGAATTCAAGTAATTTTAATAGTCAAAAAGAATTTTACAATAAACAAAGAGTTGGGACACTCTCCTGGATATTGTGAAATTATTATATCTGTATCAGAATTCTGTCTGTATCCAAGTTTGCTCTCATTCTTAGTACTGGCCTACCTGTGTGTGTTTCTAATATTCCGAATTCAAATTTACTTCTCTAGAAAGTCAGAGGACTATAAAAATCAGATTTTCTTCATGACATAATCCAATGCCACCACTGCACTACATGAAAAGTACATTTTATGCATATTCTACTCTGCCACAGGCTGAATTACAAACCTTTGAAAGGCTACATTTTAGCCTTCATTGTTCAAACTCCTGCTGCTGTATCTGTTCAGTGTCCTGTTATTTTCTACCAGTGTCCTTATCGTCCCTTTCTGCTTCTTCTTCCATTACTTTTCTTTGCCTCCCTGACAAGCTGTCCAGGAGCACATGGAGGGTGACCTAGTCCACAAGATCTGTACTCCTGCCCACTCTCACGGATTGTTTCCTTCTGAGTGAATCTTCGTCATACTCCTATTTTATACAGGCTTTGAGAGCCTGTAGACCCTTGTTTGGCACCAAGCCAGGATTCAACCCCCAGAAGAAATCCTGGTCATCAAACCTGGGAGAAAATGGAACAGTGGTTGGCCCTCCTAACATCAGTTGTCAGCATACCTGCTACTCCCAAATCATTTGTATTGTGAAAGTTCCTTCGTGAGGCTGAAAACTTACTTTTAAACTTTCTAAAACATCAATCTCTTTAAAGACTAAGATGCACAGTGAAAGTACATGCAAATGTATACTCACTGGTTTGTGAAAAATAATTTGCTAGAGCCTTTGGCTGGCTAAAATACACTTGAAGATTATTTTCACAGTGAACACTTACAGTCAAATCTTGCGAAGTGCTACACTCTCCCAACAAGTTAAGAATGCTCATTATTTCTTTTCCTAACTCTTTCTCCTCTACAACAAGCCTTGTTTGGTTAAATATAAACTGTCTCGGTGGTTACCTTTGCCCTCTGGCAAGGTTGTCATATGGAGCTAGAATAAAAAGGAGGGCCTTCCTTGTGCCATATGTGAGGCCAGGGAACAACCACACAGTGGAAAACAAGATATGGCCCCTGCCTGGTGTTATTGAAAGTCTAGGGG